TTTTTTTAAATATAAATATTTAAACAATTTTTGTGCAAAATTTTTCTGCACATGCATTTGAATATAAATTTCTGAGATTTTAAATCTGTTATTTTACCTTAATTTTAATTAAAAAATATTTTAAAACCTGCTGATTACCTATAGTATAATTAAATTTCAATATAATGCATGGCAACTGTTGGTAGTTTTGAAGTTTATATATTTTCTTGGCAAACTTCAGTTTTTGACGGTTTAAACCAGTATTATACCCTTGTCATGTCAAAAACCACTTTTTGACGTCAAAAACCCAACCCTGTCTAAAAGTCTGCTTCAATATTTCAGATAAATAAATAAAATTTTCGTGAACTATCATTAATATAAATTCCTAAAAGCCAAAAACAAGACAGAGACTTTTTCTGAGTATCTAGCACATTTCTGAATTTTTTTCTCATTTGAAAATTTAGAGATGTACTGTGAATATGTAATTTATATTAGTACCTGTCTAAACTAGGGTCCCTGTGATGCCCATGTAGTTGAGCAAAACCACTACTATTTCAAATAAAAATTTTATATGACAAAAGTGCTCTTTTATATAGTTTGAAACAAAAAACTATAATAATTTTATATAGCTTGCACACTCAAATAGTAGAATAATACATACGATGAAATCATATTTACTTCAAGTAGTTAATTTATAAAAAAATTAAATTAAATCATTAGAAGAGAGCAAAATGACTTACATTTCCCATCGTGTTTCACTAGAACTTTATAAAGGTCAATAGAGCCTTCCCCTAGAAGTCCATCTTTCATTAATGAATTATGATTGAGAACACGAAAATGTAGTTTAGAATAAGGAGTCACTAATCTGAAAACAATAAATAAAAATATTAATAATAAGAAATCACTAATATGAAAATAATAGTAATAAAGAGTCACTAATTTCCAAATAATATTAATAATAGTTAAAAATTGAAATGTAACAAAAAATTTTATTAATCGCTAAGAGTAGAAAAACTAATGAAAATATTTACATAGGAAATTGTTCATCCCATTTAGGATTACAAGTGTTCTTATTATACTCTGTTTTGACAGGTACACCACCATCAACACTTAGTTCTACATAAGGGCTTGGTTTAAAGAGAATGCCTGATGAATTCAACTTGGCAGACACAACTAGAAAAAATATATACGCAATTATAGTTCATGATGCAACCCCAACAACTCTAATTAAAGTAGATAAAATACTCACTTGTTACATTCAGTTCAAACAAAGAACTACTTTGGCGTAAAGCTTCCCCCATTTCAGGAATCCAGAATTGCCCCTAAAAATTAAAAATACTAAGTATTTAATTAAAAGAGACAAGAAAAGTTTTTAAAAATGTTAAAATCAACGAAAAAATATTTAATTTTTAACATTAACTTACTTACTACTGAACAAAATTAAAAATCACCCAAAGAAAGTAAATGTGTATAACGATTACACATTAAAAATAAAAAACGATACTCTGTTCTATTAAAACACATACAAAGTCTTTTCATAAAAAAAATCTAAAAAGATTATTAAGGAACTACCAACTAAGTATGATTTTGAAAAAGATTTGATTAAAACATTCAATTATGAAGATTTTATCCCAGCTTCACTTAGCAACATTGGAATACTAAGCATTTCTATAGCTAAAATTCTTTGATCTAGAGTGCAAATGGTAGTAACTATAAAAAAAAACACATATAACACAAGCAATATACAAAACCTTTTAAAGTTGAGTTTGGACTATTTTAGTTCATATAAGGAAATAATTAAACATTCATTCGTCAGAAGACTTTAAGTAGAAACTATATTTACTTTAGTAACAAGAGAAGAAAATGGTTGATAATAGTAGATGTAAATTAGACATTGAAAATTTTGGATGCTTTGGTGCAAAATCTTACATGAAAGTTTCCTTTTAATGCATAGAGTATAAAATTTATATGCATAAAAATTATATTAAAATATTTTATAAAATATTATCCAAATAACTTTTATTCTAGATATAAGGTTAGGGGGCTGTTTTAACTATTTAGTTATGATGAAAATTGGCATTTTTAAACAAAACTTTTTTAAAAAAATTTAACATTTTTATGGCTATAAATGTTGTTTGAATGATAATTCTGAATTTCAAAGAAAAAGGTTATTTCTGATTGCATAACTTGAAAATTATTTTACACACATTTTCAATTTTGTGAGTATAGTATATTAATAAAAGTGCGTTAGCAAAATAGGTACTTAATTCTGTAATATTTATTTGTACACTAATTAATAAGAATTTTAAAAAAACTATTAACATTGCTTTCTTATTGTTTACACTAACAAAACCATGATTTTAAAAACATACCTTTAAATTTTCATGTGTATCAATAAGATTTCTTCTTCATTTCGAATAAAATTGTTGAATAAACGATTTTTTAATTACTAATAATGTAAAAATATAGCATAAATCTCACAGGTAAGACAATTTTGAAAAATAAAATTAGATTTTAATGCTGAAGAAAATATTGTTAAAAACCTATCTTTCATATTGATCTTACAAAGAAAAAAATATATTAACACAAATATATCTTGCTACAGACTTTATTACTTTACTAAATGGTAATGAGCATATTTACGAGCAATGATTGATTATTAAGAGACTATCAATGCACTTTAGAAATAAAAACATTTTATTACAATTTAATCCCAACTAATACTTGACAAAAAATAAATAATGATCATATAACATTGTATTTAAAATTTAATTTCCCCAATTAAATAATTTTTGATAAATCTGAATATTTCTATGGCAAATTTATAGAATTGATAACATACTTATTGAATATTTGTCAACACATGACTGATACACGAGCATAATAATTAAACAATACGTCAATAAGTGTAACATAGTTTAAAGAGATACGAACCCCACCTGAGATTGGGTAATCGCTTGAAATAAATTTAAGCATTATAATTATAAACAATTATAATAACTATTACAATAAATTAAAAGCTTACAAACAGACTCAAATACGACTGTGACTCAAAACGAGAAGATAAAAGTTTAAAAAGTTAAGATCATGACAGACATATGATTCGACCTATGTGTAAAAGGTGAAAATATTAGTGTATTTGCGTATATGTGGATCATACAGAAACTGCTAAATAATATTAATATATACCTACGATTAGACAATTTCATTAGATTCCCAAAGACGCATAGATGATGTCGATACCATGGAGTAACACACAACAAATTAATTGCATTACGCAAGATGATAAATGAAAACTGAATGTTTACATAATTCTCAGTATCAGACCATAAACTAAAATCATCCACAGAATCTAGGCTTATGGTTTTACATTTAAAAAGACAATTTATTTTCAACTTCCGGTGTCCTCTACATTATATCACGTGATATAAACCTTATAAATGAACACATAATAGTTTACATTATTTTAATTATTTATATTTTCAATTTTCTAAACTGTAATGCATATACCATTCACGTCAACAACCCCTCTCCACTCCCACACTTGTGATTTGTTGGTTTGGTTCGGGTTTTCCTGTAGACCACCCAAGGACTATAAAAATAACATAAAAATTGATAAATAAAAAATTATTCTACTTCTAAAAATAAGCATTGTTTCTTACATCCTTTAAAAATTAATTCAAGTTTGCCTTTATTCACATTTGTATTTATTGCGTAAAAAATGAAAAAAATAAATTTAAAATTTATCACTAGCAAACTCATAACCGTAACTTCTTAGCATGTTTATTTATCTTCAAATTCTCAACCAGGGCCATTATATCTATTTTCTCAACTATCGAGATATTCAACTCCTTAGATACGTTTTATTTTTCTTGAAGAACTTTTTAGATATAAGTGAAAAACTGAAAATGATTTACATCACTCGTTCACTTACCCTCTACTCAAACTCTCGCTGTATTTTAGCTTATGCTGAAAATGTTTTGTACAAATCGTATGTTTTATTTAATTTTGTGAATTATTTATTGTGACTAAATCTAGAGCATTAAATGTGACACAAATAAATGGCTTAATTAGTTTGAGCTCTTAATAAGTGTATATAATATCTAATTTAGTTTCATAAATGTACGTGAAAGAGCGTACCTTATATATTAAATGAGATTACTGTATAAAGATACACAGTAATCTTAATGATATACTCTAAAACCCTTTTATAGAAAGTTTATGCAAAATTTTTGGTTAGATTGTGCTTTTACAAACCTTAATGCTTAAATATTACTTTTTGTAATTTAAATAAAGTAAAAAATAAAAAAATTCTAAACTATTAATTAATAACACCATAAGTTGACTAAAATGTTCATTGAATAACTGATAATGCCATTCATTTTGTATGTACGTGTGACGGGGGAGTTATTTCCACATTATTCCAACTGTAACCGCCAATGGTGCCAAATGTATTTTAAACTTGCCAGTTAAAAAAAAGAAAAGAAGGACATGTAGATGTTTACGCAGGATGGTTACAAATTATGCCCTTCTGTGGTGCAGTGTTGCCAGATTGGTCTACAAGTAGCGAATTGGGCTACTTTTAAAAGTCCTCACTATTCAGAATCAAATCGGGCTACTTATTATTTTTCAAACGCTACAAATCTTAAAAGTCCGCTACTTTCTTACCGAATTTTATACTACTTTTTAAGAAAAATTTCATTTCCTAATGTAAAATGATTCTGAAAAGTCTGCAGTTTCTATATCTTTTTTAAAAAAGAATTTTTTCTTTCTTCCTGAAAACGTTTGACCAGATTTAATTTTGGATTCTTGATTTGTTTTTCTATGCAGTCTAGAATCTCTCCATATCTATGCTTTATTTGTGATCACAAAATTCAAATACGCCATCTGGGGAAAGACCGGTTTCCTGCCTTTGGCCCTTCCCTCTCCTCCTCTTTTAGTTGTATAGGAATGTACTACGATATTTTTCCTTTTTTTTAATATTTTTCTTTATTTAATGAAATTATTTTTTAAAATTTTCGTGATACTTTTCTTTAGAGCTATGTTTAATGTAGTTTTAGGTTCTATATAGTTTTCCAACTTAAAAGATTTTAATCTATATGAATATCAAGTGAGAAACTAACGTACTTCCTCCCTCAATGACTCACCACACGCTAATGGGGAAAGCATGCGAAGTGTTACCATAGATAGAGAGTTCTGCTCTACGCCACCAGCAGCCCATTTCGATCGCCAATATATATATATATACAGTGCACTCCCGATTATCCGAGTTAATCACCGGGACAGGTCGCACGGACAATCGAAAAACAAGGATAATCCGAAAACTCCTTTTATTAAAGAAAAATTCAATATCAGTACAAAAAATATATAAATTACTGACATTTGCATGCATAACATCAAACTAGGAATTTTCCTTATTAAAAAATGTGTAATGCGTCTTCGCCATATATCGATACACATATTTTACGAACCGCAGTAATGTCACCGTAATCAAATCCTCCCATATAATCTAATAAAGATAAGATCAAA